GGACATGGTGGCGGTGGTTGGGGGGGCGTGGCCAATATAACAGTAATTACCGGTTTAGTCGTTTGCGTTCAGTAACTCTACAGTCACTTCAGCTCTACATTTTGTGTTTTTGGTTGGCGCGCTCCTCGACAAAATAATAAAAAATTAACTGTGTCTGATGGATTCGGCCTTAGGATCAACTAAAATGCAATAATTTTTAGAATTCTGCTCCGATTTTTCATATTTTAATGTGCTTAAATCTTGGGATTAAACTTTTTTCATATTAAGCAGATAATACAAAAAATTAAGGTCCATATTTGTTGGGTAACGTTTTTGGCACTTTAATTTTCCCTTCTAACACACGTATGTAGTACTTATACAAAGACTATATATAATTGTAAGGGATTTATAATTTAAGTGGTTAAGACTATTTTCAATCATGGGCCACATAGGTTAAATATAGCTCTAAAATAATACAAAATTCATCTCCAACCATGGGATAAAAACAAATTTGGAGGGCCACATTTAGTTACTTAGCCCTCTAACCAGGCCACTTGTAGCCCAGCTATAGCCCATACCAAATTTTCTTGTGGGCCTAATACATGTGCTTTTCAAGAAGAGAAAGTATCACGCATGGGTGTGAGTACATAACATCTTGTGCAACTACAAATCCAAAGGCTAACATTAAAGCGCAATGACATCATCAATGACGTTAGCTAGCCTTTTTATTTATTTTAAAAATAGCTTTTTTAAATGTATTTAAATACGCTTTTTTTTAAATTAAAAAAAATGGATTTGAAACGTTACTTTTTTTTGTTACAAATTCTATCACATTCTCTACTTCAATTGGATTTGAAACATTACCTTATTTTATTGCTGACTCCTACAAAGCCTAGGTTTTCATAGCAATACGATATATATTATAACACATAATCTATTTCAATAATTTTTTAATATATGATTTTGGGCCAAAATCTAAGGCTTTATATATTGGACCATATGTTTATTAAGCCTTGGGCCTTGATATTTTCAATGTAGGAGAGGTTTTGGGCTAAAACCTTGAAGGCTTTACTTATTTAGGGTTCTGAGTAGGGAGTTTGCATGCAAAATATTAGCCAGTGTCTTATTTCTATTGGCAAAGTGTTTGGCTAGATGGGTGAAGAAAACACTTAGTGCATCTCTACCCATGTAGGCTAAGAGCATTTCCAGCAACAAACCCTTGCCATGGCAAGGGGGGCTAGGGCTGACACTATTCACGTGAATAGTGGTTGCCCTTGCCTTTTTTAGCTATGTGTGTTTTCAGCAATCAAACCCTTGCCATGGCAACTACTATTCATTTTTTTTGTTTTTTTCACAATTTTTTTTACTTAAACAATTATTTTGGATAATATTTTCGGGCAAGATTTTTGGGTTCCTACGTGTCAATACTATTCATATCAGATAAGATTTTCGGTTTCACATTTCAGATAAATTTTAGATAAATTTCAGATACATTTCAAAATTCAAATTTCAGATACATTTCAAAATTCAAATGTCAGATAAATGTAAAATTTCAAATTTCAAATGAATTTCAAATTTCAGATAAGATTTTCACCCTCTAAAATTGCGCCACGTGTCATCTCTATCTGCCTAAATTATTCTATAAAACCAGAGGCTCACCTTATACCTCCCACACCATAACTTCTCTACATTTCCATTTCTCATATTTTAGATTTCAATCTCCATTCTCAATGGAAGACATGGAAGAGGTTTTGGAGAGACAAGAGCGAAAAAATTAGAGAAAGAATGCGTAGAAGAGCTGCAAGCAAGAGGGTGCAGAGAGAACTAGATGAGCAACTTGGCATAGCTGTGGCTTTGCTTGAGGAAGAAAAACAGAGCCGCCGTGGTTCACGTGAAGGTCGTCGCCCGAATGTGGACAGACATAGACATTCTCGGGGTAAGAATCTTCTAGAAGATTATTTTATCCCACAATCTGTATACTCTGATGTTGATTTTCGAAGGAGATATAGAATGCAACCCCATTTATTCAATAAAATCATGCATGATATTTGCAATTATGATGAATACTTTGTTCAAAAGAAAGATGCTGCTGGAAATTTGGGACTTCTTCCCGAGCAAAAGTTCACAGCAGTGATACGAATGTTAGTGTATGGGTCATCTGCTGATCAGGTGGATGAGGTTGTCCGTATGGGGAAGTCCACTATTTTGGAGGCCTTGGTGCGATTCTGTGATGCAGTGGAAACTCTATACACAAGGGACTACTTGCGCAGACCTACGCCCAGGGACCTGCAAAGGCTTCTACAAAAAGCTGAGATTCGAGGATTTCCTGAAATGATTGGCAGCATTGACTGCATGCACTGGCAGTGAAAAAAATTGTCCAACTGCTTGGCAAGGGGATTACGGAAACAAGAAAGGGCAGAAATCAATCATCCTTGAAGCAGTTGCTGGATTCGATACATGGATTTTGGCATTCTGAGGTCGTTTGGCTTGCCAAAATCGCATTCAAAGTTTGGTAGTTAATTTTCGGAATAAATTCTGTTTTTCAGTTTTAATGTAATAACTTCCCTAGCAGTTCAAGGGTTGAGAGATGTGTATTTAGACATATTTGGTGAATGTTTTTCATCATCTCAGATTTTAATAAAATTATCCCAAAAAAAAAAAACAATGAAATGAAAGGCAAGCAAACAAAGAAATGAAAGGCAAGCAAACTAACTTAATGGTTTTGATCATTTAACCAATCCGTGTTGCTAGGTCCATCGTCACGAAAAAGCTTTCGTCTCATAACATCCCTTCGTTCTAGCTTCCAAAATTGTTTTGATTCGGGGGACATATGGCTTGTATTCATGGCCATGGTTTCCTGATCCTTTTTTTCAATGTTTTCTTGGCGTACATACTACTTTTCTTTGCGTATATACTCCCTTTCTTTTGCATATTCTAGTTGAATTGCCATATCATGCTCTTGTTGTTTCATATCCATTTCAATCCTCATGGCTTGGTGCTTTGAAATTTCCTCCAAAAATTTAGATGCATTCTTCGTAGAATTACTCCCTCTCTTCGCCTTCGCCGCTTACCTCCCAATAGACCTAGGCTCCCTTTCGATAGGTGAGTCTTAACTCATCGGGGAATCCATAGGTGAATCCGATGTCGGTGTCTCATGGAGTGGCGTTTCGTTCAACACCACCTCTGGACCCGTTAGAATAATTTGGAATCTCTTACAATTCTTCACTGCCTCCCAACATTGGGTATGAGTGAAGCTTTTTTTGCCTTGCCCAGTAGCACCAAACCACATTTGTGCTTGCATAATCTATAATAAAAAAAAATGGAAATGCAAGAAACTTTAAAAAATATTGTCAATGCAACATGTATAAAAAAGAAAATAATGGAAATGCAAGAAACTTTAAAAAATATTGTCAATGCAACATGTATAAAAAAGAAAATAATGGACAAAGTGTTTTTCATTCTAGCTGCTTCTAGGTGGTTAGTCAGATTGGGCTCTGGATGGATCATGGGCACAACTTACGTACCACATCTAAGCCCAACCGCTTTTCCCTTTTTTTTTTTTTTTTTCCATAATATTTCTTGAAATTCAGTTCGGGAATTATCATTGGCACTCCAAAAGAGTCATAATGCAATCCCCGTCATAATAACACAAGGGATAAATTGCAATAGAGATGTATGATGATTTTTTTGGAGCGTCAATAGAAGCTCCTCTTTATATTTGTAACAAGAAATATCCCTGGAGTAAGAGCTAAGTTGATTTTAACTCTCGTAAGAGCATTTCCAGCAACAAACCCTTGCCATGGCAAGGGGGGGGCTAGGGCTGACACTATTTACGTGAATAGTAGCTGCCCTTGCCTTTTTTAGCTATGTGTGTTTCCAGCAATCAAACCCTTGCCATGGCAACTACTATTCATTTTTTTGTTTTTTTCACAATTTTTTTTACTTAAACAATCATTTTGGATAATATTTTCGGGTAAGATTTTTGGGTTCCTACGTGTCAATACTATTCATAACAGATAAGATTGAGTAGAAGGAGAAGGAGAAGAAAATGTACGAGGATTTGGTGTTAAAAGTGAAGAGCATTTGTTGGTATTTATAGAAAGTAAATTCAGTATTTTTTTGGAATTTAAAAAAAAAAAATTCAATTTTTTTTCAATTTTTTATTGCACAAAAAATCGGAGCCGTTGGATTGCTGGGAAAAATTGAATCGGAGAGCCCAGCTTGCGCCACGTGGAAGAGAGCCGTTGGGGGACTGTAGCGGGGCGCGTCAAATTTTTTTTAACGTTGGCGCGTGTGCTACACGCACCAACGTTAAAAAAATTTGAACGTCAGGGCTGACGTCAGCTCAAAACGAGTTTTGGCCCTCGGGCCAGCCCAGTTCGCTGGGTCCCACACCTTGCCCGGGCTGGGTTTTGTTGCTGGAAACGAGTTTTTGGGCTTTCCCCCCCTAGCCCTCCCCTTGCCCTTGCTGCTGGAGTTGCTCTAAGGCAAGGCAAGGGCTGGTACTATTTACATGAATAGTGCCAGCCTTGCCTTAGTTGGTTCCACCCTTGGAAGGCTTGCCCCGGCAAATACTATTCATTGTACTTTATTTTCTATTTTTTTTTTATACTTACCATTAATTTTGATAAGCTTTTCAGATAATATTTTCGGTTGCCACGTGTCACTCTTTATTATAAAATTATCACCTCAAATTTCAGATAACATTTTCGGATAAAATTTTCGGATAAGATATTTGGTTGCCACATGTCCATGTCAGATAAGATTTTAAGATTTTTTTAAAAAAATTTATAATCTCATATTTCAGATGAGATTTTCACCCTATAAAATAACGCCACGTGTCCCATGTCAGATAAGATTTTTATATTAAAAAAAAAAATTATAATCTCATATTTCAGATCCACGTGTCATCTCTATCTTCTCAATCCCTCTATAAAACTACACCATCAACTCATACATCTCACACCACATCTTATCTATTCTTTCAATTCTCAGATTTTACAAAACATATTTTACTCTCAATGTCAAACTTGAGAAGGGTGTTGGAGAGGCAAGAGAGAGAAGAGGAAGAAATCCGGAGGAGACGTGCTGAGGAAGATCGGGAGGCCGATGAAGAAGAGGTGGAAATGCTTGTAGCCTTTGCTATGCTTAATGAATCAAGGCAACACCACCGTCGTCATGCCCAGAATGTGGATAGACGTAGGCAGTCTCGTGGTAAGAATCTCATGGAAGATTACTTTATCCCAAATTCGTTATATCCTGTTTCTAAGTTTCGAGAGAGATATAGAATGCAGCCACATTTGTTCCAAAAAATCATGCATGATATTTGTAATTACGACACATACTTCATTCAGAAGTATGATGCTTGTGGAGTTTTGGGTCTTCTCCCAGAGCAAAAACTTACAGCTGCTTTGCGGATGCTTGCTTATGGGGCATCTGCAGAGCAGGTGGATGAGATTGCAAGGATGGGAAAATCAACTATCCTAGAATGCTTGGTGAGATTTTGTGATGCCGTAGAAAATCTCTACACGAGGGAGTACCTTCGCAGACCTTCTCATGCGGTCCTACAAAGGCTTCTAAAAAAAGCTGATACTCGAGGTTTCCCAGGAATGATTGGAAGTATCGATTGCATGCACTGGCAGTGGAAGAATTACCCAACTGCCTGGCAAGGAGACTATGGGAATCGAAAGGGCAAAAAAAGTATAATTCTGGAGGCCGTAGCTTCATTCGACACTTGGGTTTGGCATGCATTCTTCAGAGTTGCCGGATCTCAGAATGACCTCAATGTGCTTGGTCAATTCCCAGTATTCAACGATGTATTGAGAGGTCATTCCCCCCAGATCACGTACCAAATCAACAACACTGTATACTCTGGTGCGTACTACCTTGCCGACGGAATTTATCCTAGGTGGACGACATTCGTGAAAACAATTCCGAATCCTCAATCCCAGAAGGAAAAAAGCTTTG